AAAAAATGCATGTACTCTGAAGTACTGATAATGAGACAACAGTTGGTCCTTTAAACTCTGACCGTATTCTTGACTCTGCTTCCTCTCTCCAAACCTAAAACTTCCTTTGATTTTCAGGGTTCAAACATCATTTTCCCATAGTAAGACATTTTTCCTGCCCCAAACTAATTGCCCTACACCAGTTTAAACCATCCATTATCTAAAACTATCTCTATCATATTGGACATGGAAGTTTAAGATAGAAAGAGTATGAAAGTTAATTGAAACGTGTGATACTGCTTGTTTGTCAGTCGTTAATCCACTATCCCATGCGCACGTGAGAATTTGTTGTCATTGAATGTGACTAAAATTTCATTTTTTTCAGACATTGGACTGTGTGAAATTTATAATTATTAGGTGTTCATTTTTTTATAATCACGTTTTCTGAAATTGATTTGTTTTTGGGGAGCAAACTGATGCTGCATAAAATGGTAATCTGAATATGGGGAGACATTTAAGGGAATGATTACTTAGTCCATAATCAAACCTTCTGTCATCAAATAAAAATTTATAATTTATCTTGTTTACGTTATGCAATTTTTACAGGGCTTGATGCAACATCACGAAGAAGTTCTTGAATACGTCAAGATGAAAGGTGTTTCGACAATTCTCCTTTTACGTAGAAATCTTTTGCGTCGGATGGTTTCAATACTCGCAAACTCATGCGACCAGAAAGCTAAACCACTTAATGGGACCCACAAATCTCTTATGCACTTGACCCACGAGGTCTCTCTCTCTCTCTCTCTCTCTCATGTTACTAAAGTTTTTAGTTGTTTAGGCGGAGATACTTGCGAGATACAAACCAACGACAAATGCATCAGTGATTATACCAGACTTGAGGCAAGTAGAAGATTTCATGAACAAATCACTGCAGTATTTCAACAGCACTCGACATATCATCCCCTACTATGAGGATGTAATAAACAACCGTACGGTAGGGGCATTAGTGTCTCTTTATTCATTACACCAGAAAATTTTGAGCGTGTTTACATGACTTTCTGTTTTTTTTTTTCTGATTCTATTGGAGAGTAGTGTAAAAAATGTCTAGTAAAAAGTCCAAACTTTTTAAAAAAAAAAATAACATACAATCACAGCTTTGAATCCATTTTTTGAGCTTTCTATTTATTTCTTTATTAACAGTGGAGCTTGTACTCTCTCTCGAAACTGGTGGTGTTCAAGACTTTTTAAAGGTCCCTCGGAGTTAAAGACACGACAGGTGAAAATACATAAAGGACCCGTGTCTTCACGGGTCGAAAATTGGGATGAAATCAAAAAGATGCTGAGTGGAACTCCTTATGAGAGCTTTTTACAAGAAGATTACAAGATTTACCCTGTTGTGCAGACTGTTTTTGTATAGCATGTTCTTTGTAGACTTAACTTATTCGTTGATTCTTTTGCGAAGAAATTGACATGTATCTTGTTGAAATTTTGGCCGTCTGCCACCCACCATCGAACATTGGATAAGTGGTGCAGTAGAATTAATTTTGTGCACCTTTTAGTTGACAAACAAAAATGTTGTTAAGGATACCTTTAATTTTAAGGAATATATTTTTACTTTCATTTATTTACACTAATGAGTTATTTAGGAGTTTATGGAAAAATGCTTTGCACTTGATTTGTGGCCATTTGTTAAAGATTTATTGTTACACACTGTGAATACCATTTTAATTTGATTATTTTTGTGCTTTTTGCTCAAATTAGGTTGTCCTTGGACATGGCCAGTCAACGGGCCACGACCCGGCCCTTGGTTTTTTGGCCGGGCCTTTCATGGGTGACTCTTAACCGGCCCGCCAAAAAATAAGGCCCGATTATGTAGAACGGGCCCTGTCTCGGTCCGGTCCCAGACCCAACTCGGCCCGGTCCCCGACCGCCGGGACAAAAATAAAAAAAGGGGCTCAGATACAATCCGTAAAGCCACGGTGCCGGTTCTCGGAACTGACAACCTACGGGCTGCTTGCGGGCCATGACCGGTTTGGGACCGGAACGACAGGCTGGGTCGGCCCGTGGTCATGTCTAGTTGTGCTATTTTTCTCTGAGCAAAATAGCAATTTTTTACTTTTTATTTTAATTTAGTATGAACTCAAACAATTGTAGTGTTTTAGATGGTGAATTGACAAAACACTTGAATGTTTGTTTGGCTAAGGGTGTACTTTTGCCCTTACAAGTCTACAGTGTTGCACCTATATGTTTGTCAAAGTAAAGGTTGTACTATGTTGTTATTAGTGTCGTTGACTAATGGTATCAGTAGTTTGAAAGGGTCAATGATTGCTTTAGCTAGAAATTGTCCAGTTGAATTTGAACGCAATAATATAATTTAGTTGTAAGTGATTATGACAAACGAAAATCATCAATATTAGCTATTGTTCATTTCTTAAATTATTAAAGCTTTTTTTTTGAATTTTTAAGGGCGCGATTGGATATCAATTGGGCTTAGTTTTTACTCATTTTGGGCTGGTATTCACTGTTGAGTTCGTGATTGGATATCAAAGAGGACTTTTGTTCGTGGCCCACAAAACCCAACAAGAGCTTGTATCCGTCAGAATTATCTGCTTTTCCCACTCCCAATACACCAACACCTCTTGCAACATTCATTACGATGCTTCATCTTTTTGACTTTTTTCTTCCACATTTCAAATCGAAGTTAGCTGGAACATATCAACACGAGATTGTCCTCCATACATTGGGCTTCAATCGCCTCAGCATCTATGGATCTCTCACCTCCACTAAATCATCCTGCGACATCACGTGAAGCGGACGTCGAACCAAGACCCGATTTCCTCGCTCAAGACACTACCGAAAGCACCGGTAGCGTCCCCGTCACATCTCCAAAAAAGAAAGACTCCGGCCAACAAAGGTAGATCATACTCTTCTTCTCCTCCATTGATTTGTATTATGGAAAAATATCGTTTAAGGCGCGCGCCTTAATGAATTTTTTTTGTATGGAAAAAATTTGAAAAAAATTGAAACAGGGCACTTTTGTAGTTAGGAGATTGTTTTTGTTTTGCTATACAAACATTGTTGAAGTTTATTACGTTTGATCTTACAACCCTTTGCTACAAAATTTGGGGCTGGGTAAATGGAGACGGCACCCAATAACCATGTTGATGGTTATTTCTGCGCTCGTTTGAGTGTATAAAAAAAAAATTAGGGTAGGACCTAGGGTTAAAAGACGACACCTAATCGTTTGTTGTTGTCTTTGTTGTTGAGGGAATATGTTGTGTAACTCTGTGAATCTCCAATTTCGAGTATGGCATTTGTTATTATGGTACCTTTCTTTTTGTTTGTTTGGAATGCAGAATAAATATGATTGCCCGAATATCCATTAGTACAGATTATTTGTACATGTGAAGCATAGAATGCAACATTGTACTTGGTTTGTTATTTGTCATATTGTAGATGTCATTTTCGAGTGGTATTGGTCCTTCGACTGAGTGCACTCAAGGGGACGCGAAATGGCCTCCCGAAAATAAAGCCTCTTTTGTCAATATTCTGTTGGACGAAGTTGTGATGGGAAACCGTGTAACCGGTAAGTTCACAACGAATCAATGGGCGACCATTCTTGCAAAGTTGAAGGAGTAGTGTCCCATTTTCTATCCTTACAAAGTCACACAACTGCAAAGTAAGTACCAACGAATGAAGGTGTATTGGAGAAAATTTCACAACATGGTAACCAATGCCACCGGATTGAGTTGGGATCCACATAAAAAAATGATTACTGGAGACGCTGACGGTTGGCAAAAATGGACTACCATAAGTATTTTTTATGGTTTGTTACAAGTGTTTTCTATTTTCAATTTTAATTTGTCGTACAATTGTTATAACTTACAAGTGTTTTCTATGTTCAATTATTATGTGCCAATTGTTATTTGCTTGCTTCAATTGTGTTGCAAATATGTGTTGCATGTACACATGTTCTTTTTGCCTTTTTTGTTTTTTTTTTTTTTTTTTTAATATACAAGTGTTTTCGAACTCAACTTAATTTATCTCATAGTGTTCTTTGCTTCAATTGTCTTTGAAATATATTGTGGCCTGTACACCTCTTCTTTTTTCTTTTTTTTTTTTATATATAAATATTATTTCATTTCAGCTTGTACAAAGAATTTGGTCTCTTGTAGTAATGATTGTCATTTTATATGCCATGTACTGCTTGGGTGTTGGGGACTAATTTTATCAACTAATGTTGGTGTTCTTGTAGTCTCACTCTCTATTTCTCATTGTTTTATGACGGCCATAGGCAAATCCGAGTTATCATGACATGGAGGGCAAGGTATGGGTGCACTACGATGCGTTGACGACTATTTTTCATGGGACGACTGCTACGGGCTCGAATGCAAGGGCATCGACTCAACGTTTGCCCGAGGGACGTGGTGAGCCATCTGGAAATTTCAGCCCCGAGGTTTTTACGCAGCAAGATGACGATCCAATGGAGACCCCGACATCTCATCGACGGCATGGTGGGCAGAATCGGTCCGTTCGTCGAAGGAGAAGCACGGAGTCCAGTTTCGACACCGCCATGTACTCGTGGTCTGACTTGAATGTGTCGCTGAAAGAAAGAAACAACAAATCCGCGAAGCTAACGACGATGGAAAAGACAATGCGCGACCTTCAAGCAATGCCGAATACGGAAGAAGATCTTTTCCAGTTTGTTTGCACTAAGCTTCGGGATCCCACGAATCGAGCCATGTTTGCCGCAATTACTAGTGACGAGAGGCGTCAACATATTATTAATATGTGGATTAATGAGGGCCCCGGTCCACAGTGAAGGGGGATGTGGATTGGTTTTTAACTATTGTATTCATTTCTTGTTGGACTTCTCTGTTATTTATTTGTCTTCAACTCTACTATGTTTGAACTTTGTTTCCAAGCTACTCTGTTTGAGATTTTTACTGCATGATTATGTGACAATTTGTTTGTGAATATTTGTATATGTGTTTTTGGCCACTATTATATTTATTTGTAGGATGTCTTATGTAGATGATAGTGACACATATGAAGAGGAGATCGATGATTTGTCTGAGGACATTGACAGTGAATTCGAGACCGTGGAAGACTACGACCCGTTGGAAGCTTCGTTAATGATGGGGGCCCAATTTCAACAACTTGTAAACATTTACGAGATTTCATCGTCCGCATTTCCCCCATTAAGAAGAATCCCCTGCCGAGAATCCACGTACTCAGGTTTGGACTGGGTAAATGAATTGTTAGTTGGAAATCGTCGCCGATTTAAAGATGCAATGGGCATAAATCAATGTCATTTCCGCATCCTTTGTGACGAAATCAAAAGGGCTAGATTTCACCCCAAAAGAAGACAAACAAAAATAAGCATCGAAGAAAGCGTAACCATTTTTCTGCATACAATAAAAGGGCATCAAAGGCAACGATTTGTGGCTGAAACATTCAGAAAATCAGGGGAGACAATCAGTCGTCATTGTCACAAAGTCATCAATGCTCTTTGTTATCTCGCCCCCGACTACATTCGTCCCCCAGACTTCAACCGTGTTGCACCGTGGATAAGAAATAACAGGAATTTATATCCCTACTTCAAGGTAAATTCAAGACTTTTTCATTTTTTAATGTGTCCTACACCGTTAATTTGAACAAAAGTACTTGTATTGTTGAAATTCTATCTACTATTCGTAGGACTGCATTGGTGCAATTGACGGGACTATTATACCTGCGTGGGTGCCAGAAGGACAACAGGGTTCCTACAGATGTAGGAAAGGGTATTTGGCGCAAAATGTGATGTTGGCGTGCGATTTTGACCTAAAGTTCACTTTTGCTCTAGCGGGATGGGAAGGCAGCACAAACGATGCACGCATTTTCAATCAGACGTTGTCGGACCCCAGATATAATTTCCCCTATCCACCGCCCGGTAAATTGACCATGACACTATTAAAATGTTATACTGTAGTTAAAGTAAATACAAGTTAAAATATGTTTATAACAACTTCCTTCCATTAAGTAAAAAATGTATGTTCATGCAAGTAAATTCTACGTGGTGGACTCCGGATATGCACACATTCTGGGTTTCATGACACCATATCGTGGTGAAAGATACCATCTTCCAGAGTGGTTGGGGTCTAACCAATTGCCCGGCAATGCTCGTGAGTTGTTTAACAGACGACATGCCACTGTCCGTAATGTTATTGAACGCAACTTTGGTTTGCTAAAGGGGAAGTTTCCAATGATAAAGGGGTTGATGCCAAACTACAAAGTTCACTCCCAAATCGACATAGTAATAGCATGTTGTGTCCTACACAATTTTATTCGGATGCATGAACCGCTCGAAAACATGCCGCCTGAATTCAGCAACCCAGAGTACGTACGACGACATGATCCAACTGATTGGACTTTCCCTTTTATGTCGAGTAATAACTCCAACGTCGGCGGTGGTGAGCATTGTGTGTTGCGTGACAACATAGCCCAAGCGCTATGGGCGAACCGAAGATAAAAATATCGTATGTATTGATTAAACCTGTTGAATGCGCACTTGTATTAATTAAAAGCAAAAGAGACCAATATCGGTGTTTATTTTCAATATCTAATCATGCTTCATCTTTAGTATGTACTAATAACAACTTTTTGAAGTAAGTGTCATGAGTAAAACCATCTTTGAATTTAAATTACACTTTATTTGTCTTTTTTATTTTGTCGAAAATTGAATTTACGGTGTTGACGCTTATGGCCTTCCCCTCCAATTGACATGCCACTTCGTAAGATGATATAACTAATCTTCATATATTTTTTTTTTGGCAAATTTGATGTTATAATTAATATATAGTTTTTATTAATTACATGTTTTTTTCATTAACTCTAACAAAAAAAAAAAGAAAGAAAATTGAAGTAACTATAAAAGTATATTATTATATAAAATTACAAATATAGTTATATTGAACAAATATAATAGTTATTTATAAAATAATAGTTATAAATAATTCCAACTAAACAAAAAAATTGAAGTAAAAAAAAAAAAAAATTGAAGTTGCTATTCCCAAACGAATATAGTACATACATATATAAAGTAACATTTATATTAATAAAGTTAGCCAGATTTTTTTTTTCTTTTGTCTGTTCCAAAATATCGCACTATTTGCATGTGAAAAATTATTCTCGATAATTGCGTTGGGTTAAAAAAAAAAACAAAACAAAACAAAAAACTATTTGCATGTGAAAGCACAACTATTTCTTATCACTTTTGCAACTCTTTTTTTTATTTTTATTATTTTCGTGCATAAATAGATATGGACACATACGCCTTTTGAGGGAAATGAATAGATATGGACTGAATTGAAATGGAACAAGACGTGGGTGAAGTCCATTGCTTCAGTACGACCCATTTTCTTTATACAAATATGAGGGGCCCACACAATTTCCCTTACCTGGTACTACCACCCCCAATGTATACTCATACAAGTACAACCACGTACCCTATTTATTACAAATTAATGTGAATTTAATTTGAGTTGTTTTGAAAATATGTGTTTACGTTTGAACAATTTTTTTGTTCGTTGATATATACTTTTGACGCAAATACCCGTGTTCGAGATTTGTTCGTTGGGAAAAAATAAATAAATAAAAGTCAAATTTATTTTTTGTTTTAAATCTTACTAAAATAATAATATATTTTATATTTATGAAAACATTACGTAAATGTAGAGATATAACCTAAGATTGTTGTTAAGTTATGTTGACACACATAATCGGACGCTTCACGCATTTTCAATCAGGCAATGTCGGACCCCAGATATAATTTCCCCTATCCACGGCCTGGTAAATCGACCATGACACTGTTTAAATGTTATAATGTACTTAAAGTAAATACAAGTTCAAATTTATTTATAACAACTTCTTCCTATAAGTCAAAAAATGTATGTTCATGCAGGTAAATACTACGTGGTGGACTCCGAATATGCACACATTCTGGGTTTCATGACACCATATCGTGGTGAAAGAAATCATCTTCCGAAGTGGCTGGGGTCTAACAGACGACATGCCACTGTCCGTAATGTTAGAACGTAATCGAAGACTACCAATTATTTTGCCTACAAAATTTCTATCTAATAATGCATTTTTTTTTTTTTACAGGAACAAAAAAAAATCGACATGGGCGACATTATGGAGACGTGAAAAGGCATGTCAAGACGTTTTGGCATGTGAATTCAAATCCTTTTCTGTAAACGTAGAGGTTGAGTTGATGACTTTTGTCATCTTTCACGTGACTTGTGCTCACACATTTTCTATTTTCAATGAATTTTATTTCCATTATGTTAATGCACCTACGTACGTTAATTGACCAAAAAGAAAAGGCATGCAATGACCTCAATTTAATTGGACCACCTCTCACAAGTAGTTGGCGGATGTATTATATACAGGGGGTAGGGGCCATTGTCCCCCAAAATTTGTAATCTTTATACATACACATATATCACAAGTATATATTATTTTTTATACGTAAACTCATGCAGCTACAATTATAGTCTTGTTAAACTTTTTCATAACAATTTATATGTAATTTAATTAAATTTAATGCATGATATATATATATATATATATATGTATATATATATATGTGAAAACATAAAAAAGGGTAAATTTGGAAAAACAAGACCATATAAGACATGTTTTTAATGAAAAGAAAGAAATATTCAACACTATTATTAGTACTGAGTCAATCATAGAAATTAAAGAAAATACGTTCAATTACAAATTAAGAAATACATGACACATGACCTCCATAATATACTTCGTCCAAATTTCATTGCCAATAAATTACAAAATAAGAAATATATTTCTTTTTTTAAGGTAAATAAACTCGCACGATTCAAGCATCCAATAGCCTTACCTTGAAAAGAACACACTCATATCCAATTAAGGTGAAAATGCATGTAGACCCCTCGACGATTTCACTTTGGTCCATAAATTCACGGCACTCACCATGTTCCATCAACGTCTTCCCATGCGCTTGCATTATTGGGACATTGTATCGACGTCCTTCACACATCAAGATTGCTTTGCTAGTATCATTAACTTGGTCTTCGATGTGCTCCCTCCAAAAGCTCATAGGAATGGCCTACAGTAGTAAGACAATGAAATAATTTTTTTTTTTCCTCTCATGTTCCCTTATTTGAAGTGAATCGTGAAACATACCAAACGTGCTCGTTGTACGTGTGTCTTCTTCATATCCACGAAGAAGCGATATTGCGGAGGGCGTTCAACGGAATTACAAGTGAACACTTTCACTTCAAATTCATATAGACTTTTGCGCTCGAAATAAAAAATGTATCCCCCTCGAATATCCTCCAATCGTACAAAATATTCCCAACCATCATGGAATGCCAATTTATTTCCTACTTTTACCAACCAAACTTCATAAGTACGGTGCTCCCTAGTATGTATTGTACAATTTACTGTCACATGATTTGTATATTGATGGTAGATTGACTCCGGCAATGCCTGTATCAAAACCACATGCAATGTGTTGGACGGATATTCACTGAAATTAATAGTTAAATATAAAGTTAAAACAACATGTTCGTAATCGGGCAGATTTATACGAAGGTTGGGCTGGTTGCATTCGTAATAATTGCAACAAACGGGTCAAACGTGTTTGCCATTGTAAAGTACCTGTATAAAAGATGATGCGAGTGAATAGTTTGAACGAACCGGTTCATCCATACGAAATAATTTTTATTTTAATTACAATCACGAAAATGAAAAAGCCTACCTCGAAGCTCAACTGCAACTGTCGGTTAGGGCTACGAATGCTTGAGATTATCGTACGAAATAAAGATGGTGTTTGGTGATGAATAATAAAAAAACAAACGAAAATGTTTCGGCATGTGAAAAAAGTTGACGCGCTTGAAAAAAGACGAAACTGTTTTGTCACATTCCTACCTATTATTTAAACAATATTGTATTATATATAATTATACCATTTATTGTTTTCAGTAAAGTCAGTTTATGACACGCATCTAACGAGGAATACTGCCATTATGATGCACACCCGGTACAACTACCCCTCTTTATTACAAATTAATGAGTACTGTTACAATTACTTTTTAGCACATGAAAAGAGGCGCTGTTTAAAAAAAAAAAAAAAAAAGTAACCTACAAAAATTGTCGTGTAAACTACATGCTACTATTTTTCATTTTGCTAGTAGTATTTTTCCAAAATTTTTTGTCAGCGTTATTAATGTTGATTGTTAATATTAATTACATATTTATCGATTAAACCTTACAGTCATATAAAGTATATTCTAACACATTTTTATCAATTCAAGCACAGAAAAAAGTAGCAAATGATGATGGAACCGAGGATTGACCGATAATTTTTATTACTTGCTTCTCCAAATTCAAGCACACTCAAATTCTTGCTTCTCCACCCTCAAGCCCTCGTTCGCCACTCCGTATAAGGTACCGCCACCGCCGAAGCCAAGAAAACGACGGAATTGGTAGTCCTCAGAGGTACGAAGTTTGGTTTTTGTTATCGATTTTTTGTTTTCGGTATTTTCTAATGGCTTTTATTTGAAAGCGATTTTAATTCAGATTACATTCTAGTCCGTGCTTATTGTGTATGTTGAGGTTGCCGATATTGTTTTTGTCGGAATTGCAGATTGAGTACCGGTCTTCCTATTTCCCGATACATTTCCACCCCATATTTGTCGGTGTGTTGGTAAATTATTGTTACAATTGTTGCTTGAAAAAGTGATTGTGGTTTATTTGTTACTTGTTAGCTATTATATTTTATTTTCTTTTGTCTGAATTTGAGTTTTTTTTTTATTGGCCGACGTCACCCACGTAAATAACACGTAACACAACATGTCGGCGCACTTTGAACGGTTTTTCAAGTACATTGTCAATCCGGAGAAACGGACATTGGTACTTTTCTGTACTTCAATTCATCGTGTTCATGTTTAATTTCGTGGTCAAATATTGGGTGAAATATCACATTAATCTTCATTTCGATTTTTGTACGTGCAATGCAGAAGCTACCTGATGCTCTAAACCATCAATACAGTCATCTTATACCTGCTCAGTGCACCCTAACCACTAGAGAGGGTCGAAGGTAAAACGTGACAATGAGAGGTAATCGTTTTCGGGTGGTTTTTGATGAAGGGTGGCTAGACTTTGTGCGTGCTGAGGACATTGTGATCGATAATTGTCTGTGGTTCGATCGCACATCCTTTACGGATTTCATAGTGACAGTCCTCACGGACAACCAAGTTGAGCGGGATCTTCGACACCGTTATACTATAGAAATAAAGAAAACCCATTTGGAACGTGCGCGTTTGGTAATTGTGTATTAGTTTTCTTTTTTCTTGAAGTCATTCTTATTTTATTCTCAACTGCATCTTCACATTAAAACTACCCTTTATTGCAGTCAATTCCTATTAATTTTGGCGAACTTATGTTCTATGCGAGCCCACCGACACTTTGAGAGCAATGTTGGAG